GCTCTGCAATATTTACTTGGTTCTAAGCATAGGATACCTTTTAACACCAATAATTTCCAACCGTATAGAGGGCGTGCACTAGTGCCCCATTGGCGCAGTCGGTTAGCGCGTCGTACTTATAAGTGATTTGAGAGATGCGAAGGTCAGCAGTTCGAGCCTGCTATGGGGCAGTAAATTTTCTCCGTGACGTTACCCGGGTGGTTCATTAAGAAGCTTTTAAGAAACTCTTTCTTCAGCTTATTCTTTGGTATATTTCAGTCCTAACTTATTCACTGCGCGTTTTCCAACAAAGTTTTGCAAATGTCCTATCCAGTACCATTTCAAAGATTGTCATGTGTGCAGTTCCTTGCAGTCCCGAATCAGTCGATTAACAAAGATGATCGTTTAATGCTTAAAAATAAACAATCAAGAAAGAATGAACAGCGTCAAAAATATTTCTTTCCATTAATCCTAAGCACAAACAAAACCTTAATATTTTTACAACTACATTTAATAAACTTGAAGAGAAATATAGTGTAAAAACTGACTCTTCATTGCTTAGTCAACTTTCGAGTGATCGTCATAACTCGTTCTTTTTCAAAACTTCTTGCTTTGTACTGCCGACATTGATACTGCTGCTAACTAATCGAATATTTTGAATCAGTCTTTTTTCCACCGTGCAACATTAATTTGTCCTCAGTTATACTTTTTCATTAACTTTACACGTTGAGACCTCAAGTTCTTAGTCTTTTTTTTTAGCTGCTCGTTTCTTACTCTACTACCTCATATTCACTCGTTCATCCCATTTCGTTTGAAATCTTTTCTGTGATAGTTCCATTCTACTACGAACCACTGTCTTCGTATTTCACTTGTAGCAGTACCACTTATTACACAAACTTCATACACTCTCATAAAGGTCCTGCTTAATCTTTTTAACGATTTCTTCTATTCTCTACAACTGACATTTATTAGTACAACTGGGGCAAGTTTTTCAACAAACCCTTTATAAAAACTTTATAACCAGGCAGTTATTGTATGGTAGAGACATCTGCTGAAATTAGTCAGTCCTAAAGTGTAAGAATGTCCTTCGAATAAATCTTCTCACCGTAGTACATAATCGTAGACAGTTTGGCTATTGCCAATCCAGATTGTAATTTACCCGTCAGCCAACCAGATCATACATGCAATTCTGAGTGTCAGTGCCGACAACGACTACAACTAGCAAAATGCCTTCAATCATTTAACCCGCTGTCAGTCAATGACTTCAATATACCTCTGCCCCCATAAGCTGTCATAAAATAAAAAACTATAAGTAAACTTCAACAGTACCACGTAACAGTAGGTTCACTGTCGTACCATAGACGAGCCAACCCCAACAGATTTAAAATCTCAAAGCCAACCTAAACTTTCGGAACTGAGAGTCGTTCCATCGTGAAATCACTTCATAAGACAACTAATTTGAAAAAAGATATTATTGCTATAACTGAAGATTTAAAAAATTAAATATGTATTTCAACAGACTATGCAACAAAGAAGACTCCAAAACAAGCATTACTCTTAGCTCAATGCTGTCATACCGAATTGAGCGGACGGTATGAACTTCAAGCTTGAGCCTGAGCAGACAAATTCGTCTGAGCTAACTCTCACAAAAATATAAATACAGGTACTCAGAAATGCCTCAGAAATTAATTTCAGAAAACCGTTGACTAGAAATACTACTCGGCTGCAACACTTTTAAGAGATACATGTTTAAAGCATCGCTGCAATGCTAAATGAGTGTTGTAACATAAACCAAAATTTAAATTAGCATCTTATTTTCGAAAATCAAAGGTTGTACAATATTTCTAAAAACGAAACTAGCTGTGTTCAGCTTAAGTAACAAAAAAAACCAATTCACTATTAGGACCATCGCATCCATCCAGTTTTTCGACTTGCCTTCAATCAACCCCATCTTTAAAAAATCCCTCCTATCCCCCCAAACCGAAACACTTGAAATCACCCAAACTAGCAAACTAATCTTCCTTAAAAGAGACTATAGCTTTCAATCTAGTCGAGATCACAACACTCCCAATAACATACAGCCATAAAAACAACTCGCAACAATTAACAATTAACTTATTCTTCCGAGCACGCAAGTAAGGAGCCACTGACAACTCCAATGCAGAAATATATGAATACATCCCAAAAAGTAAAAGACCACTCTATGCACTCATTCTTATCAGCTTCAAGAATCAAAAACTCTTTACATACAGTAAAATCTCGAATGCAGAAACACTACAGGCAACTACGTAGGACTTTCTCTTTATGCAGATAATTAACAACAACTTGCATTAGTTCACCCATTCACTTGCAGCAAAAAATCATTCCACAACGTTAGACAATGCTCAAAGCAAAAAGCACTTTCTTAGCCAAATAAAGACTTACCTCCTCTACGCAAAAAACCAAACTGATTATCCTTAAAGCCCTTCACTACCAAACTTGTAACGACAACGAAGGAATATTCCAAAACGGGTGAAACTGATCAAACAAAATTACCAGTTCTATAATATTTGAATACTAGAACAAAGGCTATCCTTTCCAAAAAACTCTTTAATTGAGAACTTTTCATATCCACCCTCCCCAAAACAAGCAAACTTGATAAGCAACAAAGTCAATCAAATAAATAAAGAATTTTTCTAACAGCTGTAAGTTTTGAAGAAAATCAAAGAAAGGGTAAATAACCACTGAAAGCACTTGACAACCACAAAACGAACAAGTCGAATTCTTTAAACCTAGTACAACTTTTGTCCTTAAAAAAGCTGCAGTGAAAAATTCCTAGCGGTTTCAATGATGAATTAAAGAGATTTCAATGTCTATAATGCCCAATATTGCACTCTGTCTTTTAATTGGTTATAATAAAACTAAACTCAAACAGGATCAAAAATAAAAGTATTATACTTCAACTTCTATGAAAAGAAAAAAAAATTGCATGAAAGAATACTCTATGAGGCTTTTAACCAGCATTAAAACATACTAAAAAATTCACTCCCACCCTTCCACACGCATAAATACTGCAAAGGTTCATCCAAGCGAAATCTTTCTAAACAATGCTTTGAAGCTTCCTAAGCGTAACCCAGTTCTGCGAACATACATCATGGCCAATAACTTCTCTTAGCTTTTTATAATACTTAGAATGCTGTGAAATGCGGAAGTTTCTAAAAAAAATTCCTTCTGTTACGTTGGACTATATCACTGCGAAGGAGTAGGATCAGCAGGTGCGTCGTCGCTGGAGGCACGGGTCTGAGCAAATACTGAGTGTTTTGACAGCTAAAAAAAAGAAATACTATGATAAATAGAAGCTAAAAAATACAACTAATGACAAACTAGCAAACAAATTACAATATTCAAAAAAGCCAAGTACTGTCATCGATAACGTATTAGGTAGGTACTGACGACAGAAAAAAAAAAACAGATAGTAATCAACTTTCAAGCTATTTATTTTTGCGTAACCTACACGTCAGGTTGAAAAATAGTTAAACAAATTTGTTGACTGCTTAAAATGTCAAATTACTAACCAACTTCTTTCACCTTTCAAGACAAATTGCAACAACTTACAATCTTTCGCACATGGTCTACAGCTTGTATAACCGCGTTGCTTGTAGGTTCACCAACATGCTCAATAGAGTCAGTACTGTAAGGAGGACGAACGAGAGCACAACCCAATACAGAAATACAATCTCCGTCCCATTTAACGTCTTCTAACCTGAAATATAAGTGTAAGTATTTAAGATAGTTGAAGCAACATCTAACATCTGATAGAGCACAATGAGAAAAAAAAATTTTTTTTAAATATAAATTTTCGCTGTTTTACTGGACTTCTTCTAAGTGACTCGGCCCAAATATGCAAAATAGCCAATCTGCTGCGATATTTGAAAGAAACGAAGACATAGAAAATGTCTTCTGGTAAGAATTTAAAATTACGTCTTCCTGAGGGCGATGAAACATTGTTGGCCCTCAAGGGATACATCAGCCTGCAACAATGAAGCCTTCTTTCTTGCCACTGCTCTCCTTACTTTCTCCTGAACTTGTTCAAAAGGCACTGAACTTCCTTCATATGCCACTGTTTCACTGGGCTTTTCGTTTACTGAATCAACCTAAATATTCAACAAGAAATATTTCATTGTCACCTGTACAAAAAAACTCAAAAAAGCAAATTTAAAACAAAAATCAGCAAGTCACTTAAACCAAATGGTTTCATATCAAATTACCAGGAGGAAAGCAAAACCAGTTAAAATGACAGAACTTCATCACTTAAGGAGAAATATAAATGTTCTAACACATTTCCTCTGGCAATTTTTTAAAATTATAACCAACTGCACAATATGTTCGCTACCAGCTAAATCTGTCTAAAACTCATAACTGAAATAAAATTAGTCAAATAACTAAACTTAGCCAACTATCTAGGAAAAACATGCGCAGCCTCACTTTAAAACTAAAACTCCGCTCTAACAAAGTAACTGGTGCAAAAAAACTACCTGTTCAACCAAGGCCAAGTTAACAAACCGAATCATTGCTTTCGGACCACTCGTATCCCCTAAAGCCAAATAATATAAGTGAAAAATCATAAGTGTTATGCAATTAATAAATTAGAGGTTTTTAAGTAACCCGTAAGGATACCAACACAACCAATCTTTGTTAATCTGAGAAAACCTAAATAGACTATCTTAAGATGTCGAGGAAAATGCTTTCTGTAAATAATACATTGAAGAGTAAGCTTTGAAAGAAACACCTACTGAGAACTAACATCCGTGCCTGATTATCATAGCAGATCACTTGTCCACCAATAACTGTTGGGATCCTCGTAGTGCACTTGACAATACTTCCTTTCGGGAAAACAGATATGCTGTCCGCAACCGTTGAATCTCCTTGACTACTATTACAGTCCACTACTGGTCCACCGCTGGTTGTGGCATCCAGAGCCGTCATGATTATCATAAACAAATTTTCCACTATTTCTTAAAAAAGTACCAACTAAACCAAGATAGTGTTTACCAACAAATAACGTATAATCGACAAATGACTTTTAAATAATATGAAACGACCAGTGAAATCCAAGTGCTCTGCAAAACGGAAAAGCTCCCAGAATCGGGATGACTCCTATTGTGCACTTAATACAACAAGTACTTTAAAAACCAGGAGACTATTTAAAAACACCATTTCTCAGAAAAAAAGCTCAAAAACTCAAAAAGAAAGCCATTAATCACCCAATTAGAGCGAAATACAGATGTCTAAATTATCAAACATGATTCATTACCCCAATAAACTGCGAAATGGAAAAACGAACGTAAAATAAAATGGAGATAAGATCAAATATTAGACAAACCACACCACGCCACAGCAACAAATAATCACTGTGCAAGAAGATACTGCGTGAGCAGGTATCACAGCCATTTACAAGTTTTTCTGCAAATTCCCGCAGTGGATTTCATCAACCAATATTGCCTCTAGAGAAACTAAAGACCATCCAAAACAGTAGAGAATTTTCTTTGCCGGCATACTTGCATCCAAAATTTGGAGATTAACCTTGAAACGAGTTAAGGAAGGCTTTTATGTACCGGAGGAAAAGCTCTACACCCGTTGCGCCTAAAATCTCGCTTGGCGACTGCTGTACTGCCCTCAAAAAAATACTGCAGGCATGGATAGAAGCACAAAAGAATTTGGTACTTATACAAAGGAAAGGCTTCACAGCCGTGCGCCTTGGCGTAGGCGTGACTTGCAAAAAATAGGCACCGCCCCCCAGTTGGACTGTTACGTATGGCCACGAAGTTTCTGCAGTATTCACGTCACGTACCCGGTCGGACGACATGTAGGAACGTTACAGCCAAATTTTGATCTAATTTCCTGGTAAGGCTGGAGTTTCCGAAAGTCTTCATATGCAAATCAGATTGGTTTTAAGGTTACACTATAATTAAATCAACAGATAACTCGTGCTACACTTCTTATAAAACACAAGTCTTACTTCAATCACAAATTGAAAATTGAGGAAATTGTTTCCAACCAGATTCAATAAAAAAATATTCACATCATTCCTAACTACCTCTGCATTCCTAGTCTTGTCTCGGCAGATTGCAAAGTCAAGATACCTATGCGGAGGCCAACCTTCATAATGACATAACTCGCAGATTTTTTTGCGGCAAAATAAATGGCTTGAAAACTTCAAGTAATTACTCGATCCTTCCGTCTAATTTCTTGTTGCTCCTTCCAAATCGACTTGTGCATTTTCAAAGGCTGCGTCATACAGTCCTTCCCGTGCATAAATAATAAAGACTTCGCATAACATAATTAGATTGAGCTGTTCAGTAAAATACAAATTCAGACGGGATACTAGTGATTTCAGTGTAGATGGAGAACGATGCACAAACAAAGTGATAAGCATATATGAACAAACAAGCGAGGAATGAAAGGCAATGGAACAAACTACGAAACAAGTAACAAGTGACAGACGATGTAAACAAAACTAGTTACCCGATAAACAACCATAATCTCTTCTTCTGTGCAGAACCAATCAATCCGCACTGAGGTTAAGATGTACTGTTTAGCAGCAACCAACAATCTTTCTACAGTTAATAAGACAATATTTCTTGAGATCTGACTTTTCAAAACAAACATAAAACAAGCAAACACACATAAACCCTACCACTGTCCAAGCGTGCAATAATGCACAAGACATGAGAAACCTTAGAAAAAAAAGGCTTAACGATGGTTATAACATCCTGCAGACCTCTAGCACTATAACATCACACCTTTGGAGACTTCTCAAGTCCAAATAACAGTGAATTAATGTTCACAGTTTTCCGTTTCACATCACAACTCGGCAAACCTTATGACGGACAATGGCAGTTTGCCAAAAAATGTTAAAGCGCTTCCGCAAGCAAATTTCCTTAAAATTTCGATAGCAGCTTTACATTTATACTTTTATCGGAGTAACACGGATACCCCGGATAAAGCAATTTTTTTCGATAGTATTTTAGAGGTCTTTTTTGTTGCTTACAATTAACCGAGTATAACGATTATGTAGGTATGTAAGGTCTAAAAACTTAAATATGACCTCAAAAAAGATTACAACTCGTTTGTAATAATTTACCCGAAGCGTCTTAAATGCGAGTTAAACAAAGAATACATCGATCGGAACATTATCCAAAGCAAAACAAAGTTTTCTTTTGCTTGTCTGATTGACATAGGTTTTTTTTTTTTGGAGAAGCTTATGTGTGGCAAGAAATGCAGTTTTGTAACTCACCAGGTAGTGACCCAATGTACTGCTTTCAAATATTTCAAAATTATGCATTTTTTCTAAGTGTGTACTTATGTGGGAGGTACCGTATTTGAGAATCTATTTCATACTGTTTGCCGACGTAGCACCTGAAGAATCACATTTAGATTCAGAAAACGCATTGCGATGTTTGAATTCGCAATTAAAAAAATTTATTTTAAGGGTGGGACGGTGACTAACCGACAGTTTTTGGCGGAAGTTGTAAAAACTCAGAAGGTTCAAAAATAAATTTCAAATTGTCATGATCTGCTGTCTCAATCCCTTCACAGATTGTGGCGGTAATAAAATATCTTTTAGTGTGTAACTCAGTGACAGTCATATAGTACTTTACGTATGAGACTCTCCAAAGTCAGGTTTTTGAAAACTTATACTTTGATTTGGGGATATTTATGTGACGATCAATACGTACAAACAGCAAAACCTAAACTGCTTTAGCGGGACAGGAAAGTTAAGTGAGGTCAGCTGAATACAAAACAAATTTATAAGCTGAAATAACTAAAGGTCAGAAGAATTAATGCGATGCAAATTAAAGCTGTTTTATTCTGTTGTACGTGTGCATGCAAATGTCCAGTGAATGCGAAAAACGGATATCCCCTTATATTTTGAGTGGGCATTCGGGTTCGCCACTACAGTTCCCGAAATTTTGGTGCTTACATCCACCACCTATTCACACTTTTTTACAAAATTCCAACTTTGTTGCTTTCTCTCATCTGCCCGAAAGGATCTTACTCAGTTACAGCTTTTTAGCAATGTAAATAGCACATGTTGATCTTTAAAGCAGAAAACAATTTGAAACAGTGCAGTGACGAAATTTCCGTCAATGGAGATGGCATGTTGAAAAGGTTAACTAAATTAAATAAAGAGTGGACAAGGCGAAAATGAAAGGTAATTAGCGCAAAGATGAACTATTAGTGAAACAGTGTCTTTGATGTGAATGGCTGAGAAAGTAGATGCAAGAAGTAACGGGCTCGTGGAAGGTTTGAGTGAAAATGAAGTGTTAAAAGGAAATACTCTGCGGGTAAGAATGAGGACTTTAACTGGAAGAGTAAAATGAGGAACGAAGAAATTAGAAATTTTTACAGGTGATGATTAGGTGAGAAAATTCTTTTAAAAAATCTTTGCTAGTGAAGCTGAGCGGTAATTTATTGAGGTCGAAAGTACATAAGGACTTAAAAGCTGATAAAAAACTTAGTCAAAATGATTTAGGGGATAGACATAGAAATTATAAGTGTAAAATTTGATTGTAAGTATGAGAGTAGAAAAATCAGTGTGGTACCAATGAAAGTACAACAATTGAATTTCAAGCGATACCGTATTTATAGACAAAACGTTTTTGATGCTCAGTAAGTCTCGAATGATGGAAGCAAAAAGAAAATTTCAAGAAAAAGCTTTACAAATACTCTAGTCGAAAAGTTGCAATTAGGACAGAAGGTAAAAATCTTTATTTTATCTTTAATAACGTAGGAGCAAAAGTAATTTCGTGCCAGTTAAATTCTGTCAACTTTTTCATATAACTGGGCATGAGAAAATTGAGAATTTCAAAAAACTGCAAGCTTTTCTTTCGATAACACAGGGTTTTTTACATGGTCTATCACTAAAGTCAGCCAAGTTCAACGGTAACAAAAGTTTTGTTGCGGGCTGTTTTGGCTCTCATCATTTAGTTGGTTTTTTCTTGTCTGCTTCACCAAGGTCTATTAAACAGAGATTCCCTTCCACAGAGTCTCATATTTGACAAAGATACTATGATAAAACTGCATCGTTTATTGCTTCGGTATCAATTTTTAAATTTGATTCAAAAGCTCGTTGCTCAGCTATAAGTTTTAAAGCTTGTTGTTTTACAGTACTGAACAGCATGAAGCAGAAAATTCTGCAAATGAAAATGCCTAAAAAACGGGCAAAAAAGGGGTTTTAAGATAAATACTCTGTAATAATTTTCGAAATGTTGCTCTCTAATTTACCGATGTTACTCATATAAGATCAATTATGCTTCAGTCACTTACAAGAATAATTTCTACCTGAGGTCTAGTGCAGAAAAGTAGTTAAATAACATCAGTATATCCGACGATAATCAGGTGCTACCGAACATGAGTTCTGGGCCATTTAAGCCACACAGTTCGTAAAAATAGAGGACTAAGACAAAAGAAAAGAAAACAAGCAAATTTTCAGCTTTATAAAATCACAAAATTTAATTTTTTGCTAAATTTATGGTAGCCTTGTGGATTATATAGAGTGACAAAAATTGTTGGCATATCCTTAAAAACTGTCGTTTACCTCGCCTTCGTCTCTTCACTTCCACTTTAATCTACTAATTTTCCTGGCTCCTCCTAAGGGAACCCTCCTCCTTAGCTGAGGATCCACATCAGAAAATATGTTAAAGATAAGCAATTTTATTTCAAACATTCCTCCTGATGGAAATTTAAAAAATATAGTTTACTGGTTACCAGACAGCCGTAAAAATCTATGAAGCTGTAAAAACCAGTTTTATTACAGCACCGCTGTGTATCGTTCTTACAAATCTTTAAACAACTTGTTTCACACTTTTTTCTTCATTTATCTCATGTAGTTTAAGGAACAAAAAGAACAGACATGAATTAAGAAACAATTAAAATCTATGCCCAAAAAACTGCTAATTTTTTATCGTATAATGTTAATTATATACAAATTATATTCTAAACAATTTTCTTTTAAAGCAATAATAATTGGACCTATAAGAAGATAAAAACGGAAAACATTAGATAAAGGAAACAAGCAATCTCTGCTGAGTCGACTAATAACTAGCAAAGTAAAAGAGGTAATCATCGTTTGAGTGACGACAAAGTTTTTATCTTCAAACTTCTGCCTACTTCGTACAACCGTAGCTAAAGATTCTAGCGACAACAAATTGGTTAACGATCAATTTCTAGCAATTATCTTCATACACGGTGATAGTAACAGTTGATATAATCAAAAATTATCAATCAACAAATAGTAAAACGAAATGATGTAATGGTACAATGACAGTTACCTTCTCAGAAGTTAAATACATTACTAGAACCACGTTCATCGCCATCATCAGTTATATTTTACAAAAATGTTACAAAACAAAACAACACCCCTAAAGAAAATGAAATTGAGCGGTGAAAAAAAGCGAAAAAAAACGTTAGCTATAAACAATAGAATTATAACGACAGATTTGTAAACTCTTTCTGGGTTCAAAACTGCTTACCCTTTCCTGATCAAGTTGTCAGTTGTTAAAGCAAGAATCAGCCAAAAATAAATATAGATAATGTTAACAAGTTCGACTTCTACATCCACGACCTAAACAGATCAAAGTCATGATTTTTTGTGCTGGCAATCAGGGACAGAAAGCTTTAATTTCTAAAGCAATTTTTGTAGTCATTAATTGCTAAATAATCAAATGTTCTATAAGTCATTAAAAAATTAGTGTTTTTTACCGTATCTTGAATGTCCTAAGAACCCGCCATTTGGATTCCTATATAACGTGTTCTTGAAAGCTTTGGGATAAACATAATGCAATTCAGGTCGTCTAACAAATGCAAACGGTAGCTTGTCCCATGGATAATGCTGATAGTAATACCCCCAGCGAGGCTCCTGCGGAAGGCCATAAGCAAACGTAGGAGGTACTGATTCACGGTTCTGTTCAACGTTTTTCTCCGCTGAAGACTCCAAAAAGCTTTCTTTTCTCACAAACGATGGAGTCGAAAATGTGCTCCTTATTGGTGCCAGTGTCACTTGTCTTAACTGAGGATTTGCTGTAAAGCTAAATAAGTACAAAAACAACGGCAACATTACTGAAAAGCTAAAACCATCTGACGCAGTAGTTTTGGAAAAGGTTTACAATTCAATATATTTAAAGTTTGGATGTTTTACAGCCTAAGACAAATAAGTGTTCGAAAAAAGTAAAAAAAAATGCAGTTCATTTTTGTTATCTGCTAATAAATGCTTTTGAATACAGCTGGTTTCTAGATCTTGTGTTAATCTTAACTTTTTGACCGGGACTTCAACTTCCAACGGTAAAACTTCAAAATTTAATTTTTCTGAATACGTCTTCAGTTTTAATATATCGCTCTATTACTGCGATAATTTTGTAATTTTGAAACAAAAAAAAAGAGAAAACAATTTTTCTGACAACATTATCTTCTAAAAGCAGAACAACGATGTTCACTTACGAAATTGAAAGAAACCAATTGTTACCAATAATAAAAGAAAAAACTAAAAGAAATCAAATGAGTATTTGTCTATCAGCTGAAGAAACATTAATTTTTTTCTTTTGCTGATTGGCAAAAAAAAATTACTGAAGAAACAAAAGGTAAATGTTCAACGAACAACCCTAATAGATGATTAAATTTTTCTGCAAATTTTTTTCCACTTCATGATGAAAACAAAATAAAAAAAAGCGATAAAATTAAAATCCTTTTTTTACAACTACCAAATACATATTTTACAGTTTTTCCAATGACTTTTATTTTTTCTTCTACATTAGTCAGCACAGCACCGTCTTTTTAATTTAACATATCCGTATATATGGCTGATTTCTGACGTAAACAGTTGATTTTTACATCATTAAAGCCGGTTTTTCAGATTCTCAATATTTTCCAACAAGCTGTCAACGAATTTTTTTTTCTTTATGTACTTTTACAAAACATTAAGATGATAAATATGATAGAGAAACAAATAAACAAAAGAAAAATTTTAGATTCAAACTGTTTAACTGTTGAAGAACTTAAACCTACAACAACAACAACGATAACTTACGACCACTGTTTAACGCCTGTTGATCACCAAATTCGGCATAATCATCCTCTCGATCGTCAACAGTTGACAACAGATCATCATCTGTATCATTTTTGTCCAAAAATGGTTCTGGTAACTGTAGATTATCTTTGATTATTGGTTTACTGGTGGTATGTGGTTTCTGTAACAGACCATTAAATTGTAAGCTCTGTGCAACCGATAGGTTTGGTTAATTTGTGTCATTAAAAGCCCAATCCTATCGTCAATCTTCTTTATTCTTCCATTCATTTTCGCTTTTCGTTTTTTGCCTCCTACTTATCACAATACAGCACAGATACATCACGTTTTCTCAGTTGGGAATGATTTGTAATCGTAAAATAAGAAAAGGTTTTTCTGTCACGCGTTAATTGTTCAGTTTGATTGAACATAACAAAATTTATTACTGATGAGCCGAAAAAAAAATACCTAGATACAAATAAACAGACAACAACTAAATACAACATATATTACAACGGATACAAGAAAAATGATCAACAGAAAAATAGCAAAAAAAAAATGAAAGTCGAAATTTGTTGGAAAAAAAAGTCGCTTTGATCAAAACTGACAGATCAAAGAGAAAGAAAGATTTTCATTTTTTACAACCGCTATACAAAAATTTTCTTCCCCTTTTTGCCAGCTTTTTCTTCTACAGATTTTTTTCTTTTGGAAAATCTGTTCACTATTCATCAGATAAATTCTTTACTTTTTTTTTTTTCAAAGTGTAGAAATAACCAAACTTTAAT